TGTAGGTGCATTACTATGTATATTCTTATATTTCTGTGAGAGTGTGGGTGAGGAATAGTTTGTGTGCATGGTCATATCCAGCTATTGCCTGTTTGAACATCCCATTATTCATAGAGCTTTTAGCGTATTGATCCTGGCTGATACCTAAAGCTCTTCAACTGATCAGCAAAATGTCTACAGCTATACGACTGAGTCTGACCCAAGCTCTAACTTCATAGCCCCATTGCATATCAGAACATTATCTGAATTAGCTGGAGATGCAGGCCAAGAGGATCTATCAATATTTCTGCAAGGGCTATAAAAGCGCTGACTACAGTTTCAATAGGAGAGCTACTTTAAATGAGAGTATCTGCTTAAAGCCTAGTTTTTTTTCTGTATCTGCTTTCCTTTCACTTCCCAACATTGAACCAATCTCAAACTTAATAAACCATTCAGTGTCTTAAGGCTTAATGAATTATTATGAACATTTAAACTGAAGACGAGGGCTGATTATCGAACTCGTTGGCAAATAGGTTTTGGGTGGTGGTAACAGTTTAAAACCAGAATGTCCTCAAAATGTTCAGGAAAAAGCTTTGGAAATAATCCACATTGACTGATTGTTATTGCAGATATTTGCAATTGTTTCCACAACACTCAAAACTAAGACTAGGACTCAACTAAATGACCCATTAAGATGGAAACCTGTCTTATCATAATGGATAATCTATAATTGAGAGTCACTATCTGTGCTGCAACAAGATTATAACCCAAAATAGTAATGAAGATAGTAATATGATCTCAAGAGTCAAAACCATACTCCTTTGGTATGAGATCATACATACATGTAAGCATGCACACATTGCATGTATTCACCTGACCATGGTAACCATGGTATTCTTGCTCTCTGCTGAAGAACAACTACTAATCCTCCCCCTTTGGGTGCTGAGGAACTGGGGGACTGAGGCATTAAAGGGCTGCCTTACATGGAGCTCAGCGTAAGTTCGAGCAGGAAAAAGACTGGTGATATTCACTAACACATTCATCTAACTTAGCCACTCCCTCTCTACCACTTCCACCATCAAAATCAAAACGGAGCATTTTTTGAAAAATCCCCCCTGTACAGTGTGTGCCTGTGATGACAATAATTATCAGACCAATTTGTTTTTTTGTTGCTGTAAAAACTGCTTTTTTTGCCTGCTGTGTGTTTGTGACTTCTGGTGTTCCTGGAGGTTCCTGTTGAGTGCACACTCAACAAACTACAGGATTTTGCACTTCCCCATTGGCTTCATTTTTCAAGACCTGAGTTTGCCAATTGGTCACATCCAGCATTCTTCTATCATCACCACCACCACCACCACCAGTGTCTAGAGACTGTATGGGGGTATCATATCCTGCTGTCGGCCTCGCTTCATCCTGAGTGCATGAAGTCATTATAACAGTGTCTAATGGCCTTTTCCTAAACTGTTAATTAAATAATTGTAAACTCTTAATTAAGTCTCTCCTGATTGAAATGTTCACATACCCTGCTGGAAGATGACAATGTAAGCTACAAGCTAACTAAAGAGCACTACCATTAGCCTGCTCACAACAAAGCAGCTTGAGACACAGACAATTTTGTCCACCGCTTGCACTTAGTGCTTAATTATGATGCATTCTGATTTTAGGAGAAAAAGAGCGGAGGATTCAGTGTGTTGGAGATGGGGCGACATCTACTGGATCAAAAAGTCAAACATTCTTCCTTTAGGTATGGAACAGCACTGTTCCTACCTCTTGCTCCCCTCCAAAACAAAAGGTACAAAAATCAGAGATTTATATTATCAGTTATAATATGAAATCATATATTATGAAATTCAGTCTGATAATTGATTTTGTTTGCAGTTACAGTTGAATAGTATTTGTTTTTATAATTTTCTAAACAAGCCAAAACTTGATCGTAACTAGACATCACCACATTACAGAAACAAATAGCATTCCAAATCTGATAAGGCCACACACAGATTAAAGGCTTTATATGCGATTATTTTGATCCAGCAGATGTCGCCCTTGAGCACCAGCATGAAACCAAAACAACTCTCTCTGCATTGTTGTGTTAGCATGCTAATGCTAGTGATCTTTATTATGCTCGTATCTTCACACTGCATGTACATTTACCTGAAATGAGCGTGATCTAGAAACACAGTTAAGCAGTGAGTACAGTATGTTATTCTTCTTTTCTCTAGTCCCTCAATTAAACAACTTTTATACACAAGGGGAGGAGTCAGCCGGCTGTTCAAACGATGTAAACAAACTGAAGATAGGACTCTGAAAACTCTGAAAACATCAAAGACAGTGGGACTCGGGTGTTACACCCATTGTAGACAGTCATGACTCACAGAGTTATTTTCAGAGGATATACTTGATTTATATTACATTTAAGTGTGAAAAATCACATAGAAAGACTGTAAAGTTAAAATGTCTTCCTTGTACAACCAAAGCTGTTTACTACTCAAATGATGTTATTCCCCTACCACTCTGCCACGTACAGGCAGCACATTATCTCTTATTAGCCCACCTGATGTGTCAGTATCTGCCAAAGCATTCAGAGTCACTGAGTTCTCCAAAAGTGTTTCTTTTTCTATTCATTGCATTTCGAGCAGTCTTTTATTTATCACACTTTTATCACACTTAATTGTGAAAAGGGATTACACAAGATTGTGTTAAATTGGATGAAAACAAGTTGCCAAAAAGTATAACTTTACAAATCTGATCATAAACCCAGCAACAGAAATGTAAAAGAGCAAACAATTAATTGAAAACAAACCCCCAACAATTCATGTATGGGCAGGGGGCAACTTACAACATTAGATCAGGAATAAATATGAACATACAAAGACTTATTCAGAATGACATTTAAAAACACTGGAGTGCTGAGTGTCAGCATCGAGGCATACTTTAAAAGATCTTGAATATGGTCATTATAATGGATAAGGATGGGACAAAAATATTGATACAGTAATATATCCTTGTCCTCACCTATGTCATACACTATATCAAATTGTGGATATTTTCATCTTTTATTTAAATAGCACTCAAAACAGATTTCCCTGCCAATTTGACCCACTGCATCTGTTGAGATGTCATGTCTGCCTTGATTCCGAGCTCAATTAAGAGCAACAAGAAACAACTGTGCTGGCTGCAGCAATCAGCCACAGGTGAATGAGATCCCCAAAATCAGGTCTCCCATAAAGGGAAGGAGAGTTCATTGCTAAGTTTGCTCTTCTGTTTCACCTTCGCTCGGCAAAGGAATGTGAGTAATGTGAGTAATGTGAGTTATTGTTTTAGTAAATGAGTTTAGTGATTATGTATGTTTATGATGCGTAGGCAGACTTGATTTGTAGTTTGTCTTCAAAACAGGAAAAACCACTTGACAAATTAAGGAAAAAACCTGTGCTAATAAAAACCTTAAAGTGGAATCATTCTGGCTGCCTTCATTCCCAGGCCTCAACTCAACTTTTGATGTCAATGAGCTTCAGCCCTCAACATTTAGGTTACACCTGAAACAGCATCACTACTTAATGACTCCTCATGGCACTTCTCCATGTCTGTACATGTTAAGTAAAAGAGGAAGAAGACAGTTGGACAGTGTTGTGCACCGGTGAAAATAAGTTTGAGGGATGAAGTGTGGTATGAGGGAAAAGCTGACTTTGCACTGAATAAATTCATGCACTTTGCCTTATAAGAGGCATTTTGTTCAGTTACTCAGATGATGTGAAGTATCATTATATTATTGTCTTGCAAAATATCAAACATCACAGAATAGTTGTATCTTGATATTGTCTTTATTTGGAGGTATTAATCATCATATCGATATGATACTGATGATTACATCTCATCACTGTTACACATCTATTTGACAATAAAAGTACTGTGTCAGGGGGCTGACGCTGTAATATGCATCAGATCGTTCTTTAAACATGCTTTCTTGTAGCCTAAATGTGTGTCTCTATCCTAAACACCGGGTTAGTGTAAATATGTGCATAAATATATGCAGAGCAGCCTCTAAACAAAATACATCAAAGTCATAACACTAAACATGTGACCTATTTAATATTTGATTTATGGTGACACATACAGTCTCCTCTTAGAACATGTTTAACCGGTGAAGCACACAGTCTGTAGCCTCATCGCGTTTTGTCCGTCTGGCATAAAAAAAGCCACATTCTTTGAATGTTTCCCCCTGCACCATATGCAGAGGGACCCCCCCCCCCCAAACACACCTCCTCTGTCCCCTTCATCCTGTCTGTTTCCATCATGTCACAAAACAACACGCACTGGCATGCCCACACACTAGTCTACTGTATTTGTTTACTATCTCTGCATATTTCTTATGTGACAAAACAAGACGGACAGATGACAGTTTTCCTACAGTTTAAAAAATTCATTAATTTGTTACAACTTATCGGTACACCTTCCAGGCAAACTAGGAATGATCTTTATAAGTAAAAAAAGATGTAGGCTATTAGTTTAACTATTGATAGATAATTGCAGATTGTAGGCAGAGTTTAAAATAATTACACTCCCACATGAGCAGTGTAAACGCGTTTAGAGTAGACAGAAGACTAGAAGAGAGTTTTACAAACCCTGTTAACAAAATACAAAAACATTAACCCGGAGTCTGTGCGTCGAAAAGTTGAGTCGCTGAGTTTTGACGTTGAAGTTTAAGTAGGCTAAATTATAGTCTAACCTACTCTTTATTTTCAGGTGTTCAGTCTCTTTATAAAGGTGGAATTTATCATAGCACGAAAAGATGTCTCAAACTGACAAGAAGCTTTCATAGTTTGGCTAGCACCTTAAGCACTGAAGGTAAAATAAAACACAATCCAGCAGTAAAGTGTCGTTTTCACTTTCTCTAAACGGTTTAGACCGCACACAATATGCTAAACTGCAACAAAGCAGACTCTTAACCAGAGTTGAACTACACTATTCCGGTTTTTTTTTCTCCTGGTAGATTGCCTGAACATTGAAGAGACGAATTCCCCTACCTGCAGGACACTGTGATTTCAACTTTGGTGGCAGGAATAGACGCGTTGAGCGGGTCGAAGTCCCCTATCGCCGCCATGTTAAGAGAACTGTTGTTCATATTGTCAAAAAAAAAAGTCCTTTTCCTTTCCCCGCTTTCCTGAGAGGTCCAGCCTCTTTCTTTTATGAGCGACGTGAGAGAAGAGTGAGAAAGCGTGTACGCCTCCGCGGTGAGAAGTGGAGCAAGGGTTCCAGGGAGGGAGAGAGAGAGAGAGTGAGACAGAGAGAGAGGGGGGCTGTGAGATGTGATGTCACTTATCTCTTTCTCCTCCTCTCTCTCTGTGAATAGCTCTATTTTCCTCTGGCTTCCCCTCTTTCTTTCCGCCCCTAAGCCATCTCCTTCCCCACCACATCTGTCGCTCAAATGAGTCCACTTGACTTCTGTTCAGCTCGTTTCAGATTGACTTTGCAGGAAAGTGAAAGTGATGCTCAAATCAACACAAACAACTCTTTCATGAATAGTCTTTCTTACATGTGTTTGTACAGGAAGCTACACATTTCCATGCTTTCAATGATGCTATTCACATAACTTCAGTTTGATTCCGTTCACATCAGTGTGGGCTGTTGGACATTTCAAACATAACACAGCTCTATAGGCTCCTTCTGAAACCAGGGAGCCTGGGATAAAATGTGCCTTTTGCCACAGATGTCTACAGGCCCTATATATAACCCATGCAGGACCTTAATTTGGAAAACTGAGGATAAAGCTGGTTGTGTTTGTGTTTGAAAGCTGTGCTTATTGTGATTAATGATCCAGTAAACTATTTAAAGGTCCAACCAACAATCTACAAATCTGCCAGACCACAGACTAAAAAGTTACTACAAACTTCTGTATATTGACTTACTATTTGAAGTTGTGCTCTACTTTTCTGGGCGCAATGCTCAAACACAAATGTTCCTGCTGCATTGTCAAGGGTCCCCACGATCAAAATCCAGTAAAATATTTAAACCAGAACACATTATATCCATAGATATATATCCAAAGCACAGGCTTTGACATGTTCCATCGCTTCTTCTTTTTTTTTTTTTACTTTTATTCACCAAAACGTGCATACACACAAAAAAAGAGATACAAACAAGAGGGGAACTGAGGTACGATACAGTTTTGCAAGCAGATTTAGACAAAAACAAACAAAACAAAAGGAAAAAGGTCTGTAAATAAAATGAATGAATTAGAAAGAGGGGCAAAATAAGTAAATGAACAAACAGGACAAAGAAAAACATGGGGACAGTATAGTAACACAATTATGTCAAATAAAACGGGTGGGATAGGTTGTACACATGGTGAACACTTTGTATGCGTGCTAACATGATTGCCAAATACAGACTGTTTGTAAATTATATTAAAATTGTTGTGCTAATTTCCATCTCTTCTAAACGACACACGTTTACATCACCTGACAAACGAAGCACGAGATAACAGACAAGAGAGTTAACAGAGATATTAAGAGTTTTGGGCACTAGTAACAGCACACAGGACTCTATTATCAGTATTACAGTTTAAAGAGTAACCATGGTAACTTTCAGTTCATGTGTGGTTGATGGATGTTAGCATGGCCATTGGAAGTAGGGGTGCTAAGGGTTCTGAGGCATCCCTGTTGGAAAGGTAGACATCAGAGAATCTTTTCTGCATAAAATATAAATTAATATATAAAAATACTTAAAACATTTAATTGTATTGAAAGCAATGAAAAAGAAAGCAGGAAAACTTTTTGTTTTGTTTTTCTTCTTTTTCCCAAGATTTATTTTTGGGAAAATAAATGGATAGATGTGAAATCAGACTGGGAACAACATCCGGCCAAGGGATCACAAGTCAGATTCAAACCCAGGCTGCCCGCTTTGAAGACGGTTTGAGCCTCTGTACATGGGGAGTGCAAACTAACCACTAGACCCTGGAAGAAGTTTTTTAAAGCCAAACAGACTAGTTTGCATGTTGTAATGACTTCTGGAAGAGTTTAAACATATTCTGATACTTGCTTTTACGTAGAGAGAGAGACCTTATTTGTGCTCGTAGTCCATACAGTTAATGAACTTCAGTCACAATATGTCTTGATTTACATTTTGAGGCCAACTTCACAGGATTCTGAAGAGGATATCAACCATTTCAGACTTTACATACTAATAGCGTGGTCCTAGACAGCATTTTTTTTTATCCAAAGACTGTATTACACCAAGTTGGTTTGGATTTGAATTCTTTTGTCTTAATTATTATTCTAATTTAGGAGATTGTGTTTATCTGTTACTATTATGACCAACACTCAGTAGGACACCTGTTATATCAAACACAGGACACTTCCGATGGTTTGTGGTTTTCACACTGTACTTAAGTCAGGTGGACATATATGGATATATGGAAACAAATTGTATGTTTCATGAAGACCAATTTTATTATTTTCCTCTTATTGCTTTATATATGAACAAATATAGGCGGGAAAAAAATGTTGCATAAGAAAAATGCATGTAAAGACATTAGTGCATGTAAAAGTGTTTTTTATTTTTTCCAAAGACACCTTCTGAATATAGAAAAAGCATGTGTATCTGTAGAGTTAAAGCCCTAAGGGGGATGTCCTTTTTAAAGGCTTTCTAAAAAGTATACTCAATTAAAGCAACACACAGTGAAACAACATCTTTACACCATGTGGAATACTTGAAATGTAACTATGTTTGTGTGTGTGTGTGTGTGTGTGTGTGTGTGTGTGTGTGGTGTAAACATGTGTAGATGATTGGATCAGAGGATCTGAAAATGATGCATCTTTGTATTACTCAGTGTGTTTACTGGAAAACCATGTCTCTAAAAATACCAGGCATGTATCTAAATATAGCTTTCTTATAGACACACACACATACACACACACACACACACACACACACACACACACACACACACACACACACACACACACACACACACAGACTCTCTGAGCTGGATGTGAGGCATGGTGGCAAAAACCACTCCACCATTCTGTGTCCACATTGGTTGGAAAGGATGATAGGTTCATTCATACACACATAATGGAAACATGCTGGGACAAACAATGAAGCACACAAAGAGATGAATATATACAGGGAGTACAGGCATAGATACAGAGGCTCATGTGTGTGAGTAACCATGACATCATTACCACCTGAAGGTTTACTCAGGGAGACACCAGTATAACAATCTTATCCAGCACCCCCTGCTGTGTGGACACATCTTCTCTGACCTCAAAGATGAGTTGTATTTGAAGCATAAGGGCTGCAACACACAAACATTTGTTAGGAATTATAACCAAATTTAAAATGTCGACATATTTGAATTTAATCAATTAAGTTTTAGTACTAAAATGGTTTACAGGTTTAACCACCATAAAGAAGTTTACAGCCGTAAAGAATTTAAATATCATAGCAACAAAAATGGTTTAACCCTTAATATGCCAATAAATAATCAATGGGGTTGTTCACTCACATTGAGATAATCTGTAGAAAAGTAATGCTGACTAAAAACACAATAAGATTACAAAATCATCATTTAAAAGCCAAAGCCTTTTATTCTTTCTTTTTGTTGTTGTTGCTGTTTTTGGTTTTATTACATTTAGGTTCTACCTTTTGTTTCTCTTCTGTGGTTTATATACCAAACTTAACACATATCACAGAATCTTCTTTAGCAGTTTGTATTTCCACAGTATAGAGTGTTTTAAAAGCTGAGGTTCAAAATTCCATTTGAACCATAGAAACAGCAGTCAGAAAAGGTCTCACCAAAAATCTGTTCAGTGACGGTTCTGGACTTTTCGGTCATCACGTTTTCATCTGGATTTTTTTTGTAAGTTTTCCTCTGAGAGGCCGTACTTGTTTTAAACTAAATGTTTAAAATAATGGTTATCATTGGGACTGGCCAAACAAATAGTGCTTTAACCCAGGAAACCATGGGGGAAGTAAAACGACTTACCTCACTTACCGTTCTTATTTGTATAGTTTCCCTGAACTGCCACACACACACACACACACACACACACACACACACACACACACACACACACACACACCCTGTCTTACAAACTCACATTTAAGGTCTTCAGTGTGTTTCTGCTATACTTTGTCTTTAAACTCAAGCCTTCATTTGTCTGCATTAAATGTTATCATGTTCCACCTCTTCAGAGACACTGCACTCTGATTTCATGCTAAAAGAGTTTTCTGGAATATTAAACATAAGGTCCTTCCCAATCTGTTTTGCTTGGTAACTGAAATACTCTGAGAGGTGGAATAGGTTGATTTCTGTAGGCACATTAAGAGAGCGAGCAGCAGCATCACAGATAATCAGTTCTGGTCATAAAGCAGCAGTGTTGGTATTTATAGCCGGAGGACTCACTTTCAGAGAGATAGCAGCTAGGGTGGTGAATATTGACCCTGTCTGCCTGAGCCTCATAAACATCTTTAACCACCACTTAACTGCCTCTGCCTCTTTCCTCTGCACCTGATCTCTTCCTTTTTACCTACTCCTTTTTCTTTTAATCTGAGCCACATTCTGTTTTGATTCTTTATATGTCTGAAGGTATTTTTCTATAACCCAGGTTGATGCAGTGGCTTGCTGAACTTCAGAACACCCAACATTTCTACTGTCAATGATGATGAATTATAGCTACAGTGTCAGTTTTAATGGTTAAAGTATCTGTAGTTTTAGCAGTAACAGCTTCTGTAAATGTGGCAGGCGTATGATAATCCCAGGCAGTGCAGAGCAAACCATGCTGTGCTCATTTTGGGGACATGAAGCAAATTGGAAACACTGCAATATTGGATCCAGCCCTCAAAAGGAAACACAGTGGTGACATTTTGTTTTACTGTAACGTGCATGAAGTGAAAGCTTCTAATGATAGAATACACGATTATTTATGTGACCATGATAATTTAGTTTAGCAATAGACATTTCAAATAAAAATGGGCCATTGGCTTTAAAACGCCAGAATGTAACAATGTAAAAAGGACAACATAGTTTAGTCTCACTCTGCATCCACAAAAGTCCTCCAACTGGTTCCAATAATTAAATGCATAATTTTCAAAATAATTATCTGTGCTCTCCTTGTGACATCACAAGTGAGATTCTGGTAAAACTCATGGGGGGGGGGGGCATTGCATTTAAAGAGACACACACACACACACACACTAAAATGGAGCATTCTGAGACAGCTGGTCACAAATCTCCTCTGGTGCTTCATTAATGTTATATTTT